TAGTTCCAAGTAATGCGATTACAACATCAACGGTCAAAGTCTTTCAGAGTCCTTTAATCATTTCTTCTCATCTCAATGTGAAGTGGCTCCAAACGAACTACAAGCTGACGTTACAACGCATTACAACCCGGTTAATACGAGCATATACATTAGAGCTGCTTTGTTATGATCTCCCTCATCAATTGATGAGAGATCTCATTATGAAGCAGCTCCAATCGAACTAAAAACCTACATACAAATGAGTGAAAACAAACTCATTAGAGTTGTGTTGCTTTGATTTCTCTCATCAGAAGATGAGAGATACCAGAACAAAACAACTCTAATCAAACTTTCTACACAACTCAGCACAGTATCAATGCAAAGTAATGCGTCTGTATCGTTAACAAGCAAAGTTGTTTCGGGTCCTTCCATTTTGGAAGAATTCGGAACAACTTTGCGAATTGATAGTGTAAACCCATATACATGAAAGCGTGCATGCATAAAGACAGGTATTGTCAGCAATGACTACCTGCCCAGCTATGAGTGATCAGAGAATTACCATCTCAGGCTTTTTGAGAACTTTTCAGCCAGGACTCTCGTATGTTGACTGTGAGAAAGGCATCCTTTATCTGAAATAGATGCTTTTCCAACAATCAAATTCGAAGATCTTCGACGTTGTTGTAAAAAGAGAAGGAGAAGGAAAGAAGAGAAAGGAGAGGAAGAAGGAAAGGAAAAGAAGAAGAAGAAAAAAGAAAAAAAAGAAGGACATATTAAATATAATGCGCACTTAATAGTGCCGAGGCGGCGGAGCCGCCGAGGCGCGATTTTTTTGACCCTATATTACCGCACGGCAATGTTTTTCTCGATTTTGTACAGCCCTAATAAATTCTATTAAAATGGATTTGATCCAAAAAAATATATAAAATTTGATCATAAATAAAATCGTTTTAAATTACTTCTTCATTTAAATTATAACAATTATTTTTGGTTTTATATTTTTTTGGATCAAATCCATTTTAATAGAATTTATATACTATTCATCTATTGGTAAACACTACCGTATATTATTTTTTAAGCTATCTTATTTTTTGAACTTTTATTCAAATCTTTGGTCGCAAGAAGAATTGCATGATAAATAAAAACATTTAATCAAAGTCAATTTTATTTTTCATATTCAAATGGACTGAGTGTTAACATTTAAGGGTATAGTAAACTCAAAATTCTAGAGTTTTGAGAGTGCCAATAAACTCTATAGGCCTATATATATCTATATTTTAAAGGAGAGGTTACGCCATAATATTTGATATTATAAATTATTAATTCAAAATAAAAGTAGAAAATGAAACTAATTTTATTCTAACCTATATAAATATATCAATAATCTAAAATGATTATAGTCTGAACTATATTTTACCAGATTATCAAATATAAGAGAAATGAAATATGGCATAAAAATATCATAGCATAATTATTGGATAAATGCATTAATAAATTATTTATATCATAATGAGAAAAAATCAAAATAAGAAAATGAGCATAATAATAATTTAATTAAAAACAAAAACAATAAACAAAATGTAATTTTCGTTAATCAAAGTCATCAATGTCTTCGTCTTCTGATTCCCATTCGGACTTGAAAACTTGATAATCTCCTCCTGGTACACTCTGAATGGATTTTTTGTATTTGTTCTGTTTTTTAGAACCTTTTGTAACAGTTTTTTGTTTCAATATCATTTTGGAGTAACAATTCTCTTCAAATGATTTGACACAATCTTCTGGAAGTGGGGGAAGATGTAATGCTTTTTGTATATCTCCGAGAAAATGCTCTGGATCATTCCATTCTAAGATTGCAACGTTAACTCTAATGTTAATGTTCTTCCAGGCTCTTGATTTGTCCAAATAGCATGCAATTTTGGAGTTAAACGCTTCATTCATGCAGGTAGATCCAATGGAAGAAACTTTGGAAACTATGGGTGTCCATTTGTGAACCCAGTCATAGAGCATGAATTGAAGTTGGATCGAATTGACACCTTTTTGCCATTCAAAGCATTTGTAATTGTGCGGTTCGCAAAAAGAATGATTGCCTACGTAATGGTAGACACAATTCTCCCACATTTTCGTACGTTTGTCAATATTTTCTTCGGCAAAACATGACCAAAGCCACATACTTAGGCTTGCATTCAGACCCCAGAAAGGTCTCTCTATTTTTTCAATCTTCTGAGTCTTGTCGTTGAAAACTTCAACTGTCTTATGAGAAGCTGAGAACTTTGTAAAATCTTTTGAGATATTTTTTGATACATGACCTGGATCGAATCTTTCAAGATGAGAGACGCCAAATTCTTTAAAGACAGAGACACTTTTGTTATCTCGGTCTTTAATAATCTCTTTAACATCTTTCAAGATATTGTATTTCTTTAATTGCTTCAAGATGATTCGAGTTCCAGCACTTTCCATATTGTTGGAAGCTCCGGAATACTGAGCATGCTGTCTGTTTCCACCAATATGGTTGATGTTCACGCATGCAAGAACTCTTTTTGTGACAGCATCGAGCGCAGTTACTGTACAACTTGGCGAGTTTCGCCTGTGCGTCCATCTTGCATCAATGGATAAGTAACCACTGAAGGACTTTCTCGACAGCATTAGGGAAATACTTTTAAGTCTTCTAATCTTATCGTCACAAAATCTCTGTTGTCTCATGACACCACTCTTCACAGGGGGCTTAGTTCCACAAAGAGAAAGAAAGCGAGCACCTTTTGTATATGGCATTCCGGTCATTATGCAAGCACCAAGCATCTGTCGCGCTGAGAGTCGACGACGTTCGTGGAGTAAAATGTTATGCATTGCCTTTGTTTTCCGTTTTGGGTGAACAATATGGCCCATACAACAACAAAAAAATGAAATCCCGCCAAAAGTGAAAATTGAATAAAAAGTAATAATTAATAAATATATACTATATCATTAGATGAATATTTTGGAATAACATTTTAAAATCGAGGTTTTTCAATGGATAACGGTTCAATCAAAAATTTGACCCCATTTTAGAATCTACATTAAAAATGGAACATTTCTGTCGTTTCAAAATTCCAAAATAACGTTTCTATTCCTCTCAAAAGTAAAAAAAACTTTATTGGGGAAAAAATATTTTTATTTTCCAAAAAAAATGAAAACCTTAAATGCAAATCTAATTTTGATGCTTTTGTTTGTGATTTTTTGGATTTCGAAAAAAATTTGAAAATTCAGACAAGTTACCATTAACACTAATACGTTTCAGCGAGTCGGTCCCATCAGAGAAATTTTCATAAATCGGCGATATAATTTATTATTTCAGCAAAATATTCTCAGATCCAACTAGAATAAGGTCAAATTATACAAATTTAGCAAAGGCTAGTTATCCTACCTATTCAATTAACTTTAATTTTAAATAATTCAAGACAATTCTCAAAATTACCTTAATAATCGCGTTCTCTTCGCAAAATGACGATTCATCATTCACTACCAGCATAACTGAGGGCTTGTGCTCACAGAATAATACAGATAATTTACTTATTAATGCAAAATTTAGTACCAAAAGGTAATCATAGAAGATACAAAAAAAGTTTCTTTATTTTGATTGCTGATTTTATTTCTTCTAAAATTTACCAAATCTAAAAAATCCAAAATTGAATGCTATTGAATTTCATGTTTATGTAACATATACTATTTATTATATAAGGAATAAAAATTTTATAGTTTTAATCAAAAATAAAGGTGTACTAAATGCATACAAAACAAGGTATTTTTTACTCATCCAAAATATGTTAACAGTGCTATTTATATAATCAATATCCGAATTTCGAAATCATTTTGATGAAATCTTTATTTTAAAATTGAGTTGACTGTTAAAATCACCCAAGAAGAGGGATTATTTCAATGAAAAGTACATAAAATAGCAAACGCACAAGATGGCACTATGCAGCTTTATATTGTTATACAGGATGAACATATAAAATGTTTGGAAAACACTTACTTCGTTCTACAAATGTGTATCTCTTTATATCAAAGATTCTTCTCAAATTATTGAGAGACTTCTCTCAAAAAAAGGAAAATTTGATAACTAAAAAAAATATGGCATAACCTCTCGTTTTGCATAGATATATATTTACATGGTCACAGAGCTTATTTTCATTGTCAAAACTTAAAAATTTTTAGTGGACTATACCCTTAACATTTTTTGCTAATTGTCGTCAAAAATTAGGCGTAAAGCAAAAATTGATATTTCATATGGTTTTATGATAGATAAGCATTATATTCCCACTCATTATATTCGTAAATTTTGAGGTTTATCCTTCGCTTTTAAGATCATTGAATTTGATTTTTATATAAAATAGTTATATATTAGAAAATAATATGAGTTTATGTGATATTATTTTTCAGAAGATTTTGTGTTCTTCTTCAAAATTTTATTTTTTTATTAAAAAGAATCTTTACAAAATATACATTTACTTTAATTAATATTTAAAAACGTGCTCTATCAAAAGTTCCAAAAATTCAATATTTTAGCTTTTCTGAGGTGTCACTTTTGATGAATTTCTGTTTACAACATCGAAGTAAACATGTCAATTTAATATTCATATAGAATTTTGATAAAGCAATTATTAATTAAATCTGATTCATAGTTATTATGCATGCATATATCTCGATATTATTTAAACACGAATCATAGAAAAATAAAAAATGTCATCAATAACAAGATTTAATTATAAAGTGATCATGATACTGATTAATATGCCATTATTTTTTCAAAGCTATAATTTTTATTCAATTTCTTTTTTCAATTCCTTCACAAAAAGAGCTAAGTAACACAAAACATTCTCAAACATTTTATCGAGAACTTGATCAGGAATGTTGCTGTAGAATGCCAGCAGGCTGTAAGGACTGTACTCTATGGATTCATCACAAAGCAATTTTCGTATGAAAATGCTTTAGACAAATGTAAGGGTGCATGTGGCACGTCTGCCCCTATATCTAGCCTTAAGAGTATGATGGATGAATATGGATCCCATAACCCCTCGTATTACAAAAATTCTAATTCTAAATCCAAGAATTTCACGTTCTGGTCTTCTACTGAAGACATAAGGCTAATCACTGGAATTCATAAATTCGGTCTGAATAATTTTAAGGCTGTTTCTTCATATGTCGGAAGTGGAAGAACAAGAAGTCAATGCACACAGAGGTGGAACAGATCTCTCTGTCCATTAATTAATAAGAGTCAATGGTCTCAAGAAGAAGATTCTCTTCTTATTTCATCCGTGCAGCAATTTGGAGATCATTCATGGACCAAAGTTTCAAATGTTTTGGTTGGAAGAACAGATGTTCAATGCAGATATAGATACCAGCTTATTTCAAAGAAATTCCCAAGAGATCTTGGTATCCAACCCGATGAATTTATGATGAAGATGATACAAAATCACGAGCAAAAGTCTTCTCCAGTTGAATTTCAGTCTAAAGTTGAATACAATAATATAGTAATGGATTCCCTCAATGACAGTAGCAGTTATCCTGACCTGTTGGGAATGCAATATTCTGGCTTCATTGGAACACTTCATTTGCTTGACCTTATTAAGACAAATAGTATGGACCCTTCAAGTTTATTCATTTTGAGCTGAACTTTGATGAATTAGAAACGATTAATAAAATGTTATTTTGAATTATTGTATTTCATTCCCGATTTTTTGACTTTCATATTAAAATTACTGTGTGTTTCATAAACCGTAACATTTGATCTTAAAATTTTAAAATGAGTTCAATTTCTGAACAACTTTTTTGAAACATGGAAAAAATACAGCCCAGCATATCACAATAGCGTAATCCATATACTACTATCCACTGTGATAGTTAATGCTTCTGATATCGATGCGACATCAATGATATATGATAAAAAAAATATTGTCAATAAAAAACAATCAAAATATGCGAATTTATATGGAAAATTGAAATTTTGGCCGGAAAAAAAATCATTTTTTCATTGGATATGTTCATGAAATGTACTGCAAAATGTAGTGCAGATTGGGTAATAATGCATAAATAGTCTAGTATCTTTAGGTTTTTTCCATAATTCATATGATCCCAAAATGAACAGCTGGATCTGAGAACAACTATCTTTAACTCATTTATTCGAGAGAACTGGTGAAAAGTTTTATGTTGCAAACTTGCTTGAGAGATTGTTATTTCTATAATACAAAACTACATTCATATAACCCATTGATACTTTTGCAGATGTGTCATGAAGTAATTTTGTCTCAATAATTCAAAAACACCTTGATTTTAATTCCGAAAGCTGGAAAAAAAATGGCGCAATAGTAAAGATATACAAAGAGTCTTGTGATTAAAGATTTGAAATCAAACAATTAACCTTTTGGAATTGTTAGTCTCCTGATTCAAAAAAATTGAGAGTATTCTCAATCTTCTGAAAAGTTGAGGGATTTTGAATTATTTATTAACCTCGGAAAAAATTGGATCAGTTGATTTTTACGATCGCTAATTGAATGAAATGCAACGATCTTTAATGATGCATAGTAAAGATTTGGGTAAGATCACCCTGGTTAACTCCTTTAGATGCTGGATGAGGATAGTCATTCAGATGCGCATGAAGTCATATCAGTATTACCCTCTTTTCTACATTTCAGTTTCTCTCATCTTTGCAAATATCGTTGATATGAAGCATGTTAAGATTATTCCATCACAAAACTATTCATTTTCTCAGTATTCATCAATCAATGATTATCCTCAATCAAAATCAATTACAATTCGACCGGATTCATATGATAACAGTCTTATTGGTAATATATCATATGAAAACAATCATCCAGAGCTAATTTGTTATAGAAATTCAACTAAATTTTTAAATATTAAGGATACATTTGACATTAGCTCATCAGATAATTTTAAAAAGATCAATATCACAACAGTTTCCAGCAATCACTTTATCTTTCTAGAAAAAATTTCAAAAATCCAAAACAAAATTGGTGCAAAGGCATCTATTTATTCATTTCAAGGCTATAAAATTCGTCATAAATTCATATGGGAAGTTGTTTTATTTGCATCTGTTTATTTCTTTTATATGGTAAGTAATTTTGATATTCTAAGTAATTGGATGCATAACAAGACATTAGTACTGATGAATACATCAGGTATTAGTGATATCATTCTCTGGACAGGTTTTGTGTTAATAGATCTTTGTTTTTGTGCTGTTTCATCTTTTATTTTTGCAATTTTGGAAACAACACATGATGCATACAAAATTGCAAATGTAAAATTTGGAGAGTTGTATTTATTCTTACTTCTGGCTTCTTTTGCTATATATTTCGTTGGAATTTGCTTTGTTCCGCTTTTTAACACTCCAAAAAAGTTTGGACTGCTTACAATCTACTATTTACTTATGATTGAAGCTGGATGGGCCTTTGATCTTCTTCCTGGATTCAAATATGAAAACTTAGATTTATTATTTCCGGCTTGTACGGTACAGAGTTATTTTTCAAACATGGGATAGACAAATTTAGATCCTAGACACCCATATATATCACATTCGAACAAAACTCTTATTATTGCTTTGGTTATTCAAATAATTTGTTATTTTACGATTCTTGTGTTCTTAATTTTAATATCTCCTAAGGAGTGGGGTATTCCTGAGATAGGAATAACAAAAATGTTCTCCTTGACAGCTTGGAAACGATTTTGGAAATCAAGAAAAGATATGGCACCTGCAAATTGTGGTGATACCCCCTTTCTTTCTGTCTCTCACCTAACAAAAGTATACAAAGGAAAGAGAGTTATAAAAGCTATTGATTCCCTTGACTTTGCTATAGGCAGTGGAGAAAAAATTTTGATCATTGGCCCAAACGGAAGCGGAAAAACAACATTATTATCTTCATTAACAGGAGCCATTCCTTGTGATGAAGGAAAACTTAAGGTTAATGGATTCAATGCTGATTTCGTTGATCTCCAGAAATGTACTGGCTTCTGTTACCAAGAAAATGTTTTTGCTGAAGGATTGACTGTGAAGGAGCATCTTGAGTTTTTTGGTCGATTGAGAGGAGCTAGTAATGAAAAGATCCAAGATCATATAGATTATATAACATCAAAACTTAATATTGATGATTTGTTATTTAGTGATCCGAAAAATCTCTCTGGCGGCCAGAAAAGATGTGTTTCTGTTGCTATGGCATACATCGGAGCACCTTCTTTAGTAATCTTGGATGAACCTACGTCTGGAGTTGATGCTTACGAAAGACAGCTTCTTTGGAAGATGGCTTCTTATTTCGTGAACACTACAACGATAATTGCAAGCCATAGTCTGGAAGAAGGAGAAAGTGTTGCAAGTAGAGTTTTCGTGATGGACGAAGGAAAAATAATTTTCATGGGAACACCTTCAGAGTTACGAGCAAGATACAAATGCGGCTACAGACTGAAGTTTTTGATGGATAATGAAACGCAAATTGTTGATAAAGCAGAAGAAGTCTTGAATTTCATTCAGAAAATAGTTCCAAATGCTGTTTTAGACTATGAGATGTCTGAGTCAATAATGATCCCTGTTTGTGACGAAATTCCAAAATTGTTAAAATTTATGGATGAAAACGTTAAAGAGTTGGGGATAAATGGATATACAATCACTGTTGAAGCACTTGAACATATCATGCTGCGAATGCTTGCAGACAAAGACCAGGATATGTCTGGATCTAATTTTGATTAGACCATGTGACAATTTTCTTGTTTTGTTAACTATACAAATTGTATATAATTGAGATTGATTTGTTAAAATTAACCTCAATCCTCCTTATTTTTTCACTTTAAAAGGAAATTAATGTAATAAAATATTTTATGTTGTTTTGATGTACAATTCATTATTTGTCTAAATTCGATAACTATTTCTCATCCTACTTTGGAAATGCAAAAGCATACTCAAACTCAGAAGACTGAAAATCATCTTTATTTTCCTCATATTGTTTTGATTTCATTCAATGATAAAGTATCCGCTAAATACTATAGTTCATGTATACACATGTTGTACTATGTAATTTCTTGTTAAACTATCCATTTGGCAAAATACATTCACTTGAAGTATGCTATAATTTAAGAGTCCACATACCACTCTCTGACATGCTGCAATAATATCAACATATCTTTATTTTAATAACAAAAAGGTATAAAAGTTATATGAAGTACTAGGTAGTGATTTATAATAACTCTTTCCCGATCAAAACTATTAACTTTTTTCATAGAAAATTGGGATATAAAGCTTGAGTGATGTTTAATAAAGAGAGTTTTTTGACACATGATAACAAGGGATTCTAAAGACAAAAACTTCATTGTTAATAGATTGAAGAACTCATAGATGTCCAAAGGAATCTATCTTATATATGTTGATGCCTTGTTGTTTAAAAATGTTTTACAATTACACATATATGAACATTTTTATTTTTTTCAATTTTTTTGTTATTGGAATTATAACTAATTGAATAAAAATAATTCAAAAAAACAATATAAGATGAAACAATTTGGCTATGCCAAAAGTTCGCGATTGATGCAGTCGTTGATAAAGTGCTTCTGATACTCAGAGTCAGCGAGATCGAGTGGTCTCCAGCCATTCTCATCTACGGCCTTCCAATCACAGCCGGATGAGATCAAGAAATCGATGACAGCGCTAGATCCGTATGTAACTGCCATGTGTAATGGTGTGGACCACTCGTTCTCGTTGAAGTCAACGCTGAAACCTTGAGAAATGAAATAAATCAAGGCCAATAAGTTGTCCTTCATGACGCTTGAGTAAAATGTAGAAGCAGCAATGCCTTGGACTGTTAGCCAGTTGAGAATATCGTTCCTGTGATACTCAACTGCTGCTGTAATTGCGGATGAGAAATCTAAACCTGATTGTGTGCAGATTCTGATGATTTCGTAGTTGCCGCCGATTACAGCGAACTCTGTAAGGTCTTTTGGTAATGCTACATAAGAAACAATGAGGTACTTGAAGATGGAGACAGAACCATACAGAGCTGCAAGGTTTATAATGGAAGTTTGACCATCGAGGATGTGTTCGAATGGGGAGTACAATGTGGTATTGAGATCGATCCTCATGTCATTGTGTTTGTAGATGAAGTTTTCGGCGTCATCGTATTTAAGGTAAAAACCAAGGGAATTTATTTTCCAGCCATACTCAATGTAGTTACGAAGTAAGGCGAAGTCGTTTTCGCGATAAATACTGTAGTTCTTGAAAACTTCTTGGAAACGATCGTCGTTGCATGTCTTCTTTGAAAGAATGTAGTCATCAAAGTACTTAATGTAAGGAGCAAAGTAAAGGGCAAAAGGTATTGTTCGGTTAAGTAAATGCTTGTGAAAATTGACAACAAAATCAGAGGAAATTATGCCATCCTGGAAGCATTGGTGCATTAAAATGATATCTGGATGGAAGATTGGACGCTCTGCTTCGAATACATGTGAAACAACATCGAAGCGAGGCATTTTTTCGGACAACAGTTTAATTAGCTTTGAGAAGCAGGGTGTTAATAATGGTCTGATACGATGGATGATCTTTAACTCTGAACAAAGCTCGTATTTCATTGCTGAGCTCTTGATAAAAGAGGAATTAAGTATCTGACCAGCCATGTCTTCAACGTTACTAGCGTTGAGTCCATTGAGTAAACTTTGGAGTTCGATTTGCTGTACGGCGTTTGAAGGAATGTCTACACTCTCGAGTTCTGCAGTCATAAAAAATGATGAATTCCTTTCAAATAATTTTGATAGAAAAGTGCGGTATTGATATAATGATAAGAATATGAGATCTGGATTAAAATTAGCACATAAGTTATTTTGATAAGAAACGAGATTATGTCAAAAAAAATTAATAATTTAATTAAATGATAAGGGTGTATTGCTATAGCATTTGAAATAAATTTTGAGAATTGTATAAAAAAGATGGTACACAATTTTGATGATGCTAAAACTATAGAAAAAAAGTTCGGTCAGAAAATGAGCACCTTATTTTTATTTATTAATTAATATTTGTATGATTTAAACGGGAAATATTTTTGAATTGCATTCAAAATGCTCAGACCTTTGATAGCGAGCGTCGAGTTTTCAAATTTAAGTTTAAGACTTATCCAAAATCAGCATTAGTAGTTAAACAAAAATCTTAAATTTGACGATTTAAAAAAATAAACATCAACTTTGATATCTGAAATTTTTCGAGCGAAAAATGTTTGTTTTATTATGCTTTACATAATATAATTCAATAAAATACGCGATATTATTTTGTCAAAAATTTAGTATTGTTTTCTCATGCACCGTATTGGAATCTAAGTAATTCTTTCTGTAATTTATATGATATGCATAATAAGCGCAAGGACAAATAAGGAGAGATGATTTAAAAGCTCACGAAATCAGTTCGATATAGAAAAAGGTCAAAACAATGCATAATCAAGTGCAAATAGTGCTATATCCTGTAGGTTAATGAAGAATGTATGTCTAATTCAGCGACTTAACAAATTGAAAAAAAGAAAATGCCATCTTCACAGACTCGATGCTGGTAAAAACGAAAATTGTCGATACCATCACTATTGTATTATATATTATTATATTTGTATAATAACGAAAAGTAAAATTGGATAAAAGTATGAACTGATTTGATTCGTTAGAGTTGTTATAGACCGAAAATAGATTTTTTCGGTTTTCTCTTCAAATAATTGAAAGAATGATACTATTATAGGTTTATTATATTATATAGCATATAATCATGCTATAGCCGAAAATTATAAGTTTTGAGAAGATTGAATATAACACAAATAAATTTGAATGTAAGTTAAATTTCTTGTTGTTTTTAATAGCTATTTAATGAGAAATCCAATATTGCAAAATTCAAATTGAATGATTGAAAGAACAGAAAAAGTCGTTCTTTTCAATTTCGAATATGTTTCATTGTATTTATAATTATATGGCAAATAAGATATTTAAACTTGATTTTTGAAGGAAAATTCACAAAATTGAATAAATTCAAATAATTTTTATTCAAAAATAAACTAGCTATTTGAGTTTAATACTAATTATCTATTCAAACTACAAAGTTTGTAATTTAAAATATTTTGTGAGATCAGATTGAATTAATTCAAGGTTCTTTTCAATTAATATTAATGACCATATTACGCATTTTCGAACATTCTAAACCAAATATATAAAAATGGGAGACGAATGTTAAATTTGCTAGACATAAAGAAGTTGTTTACCGAGTTTTAGCTCTTATCTCTAACAAAAAATTAATTTTTAAAAAAAAGACCGAATACGTTTCACAGCGAGAAAAAAATAAAGGCAAGATAGAATTTTCTAGACATAAAGAAGTTGTTTACCGAGTTTTAGCTCTTATCTCTAACAAAAAATTAATTTTTAAAAAAAAGACCGAATACGTTTCACAGCGAGAAAAAAATAAAAGGCAAGATAGAATTTTCTAGACATAAAGAAGTTGTTTACCGAGTTTTAGCTCTTATCTCTAACAAAAAATTAATTTTTAAAAAAATGACCGAATACGTTTCACAGCGAGAAAAAATAAAAGGCAAGATAGAATTTTCTAGACATAAAGAAGTTGTTTACCGAGTTTTAGCTCTTATCTCTAACAAAAAATTAATTTTTAAAAAAATGACCGAATACGTTTCACAGCGAGAAAAAAATAAAAGGCAAGATAGAATTTTCTAGACATAAAGAAGTTGTCTACCAAGTGTCAGCTGTTACTTCTTCTCAATACTGATATAAAATAAAAATCTTTATTATTTATTTAACCTTTATTGTTTCATTAAACTTCATTTATTTTATATTATAGTTTTATTCTTTTAGCTACTTGTAAAATAATCTAATTTTATATCATCATTTTACCGGATTATTCTTCAGTACATCGATTGTGTATCTAAAATAATATCATTATCCTTATTCTGTTTTTTCCAAAATTCTTTTAAATATCTTTTTTGGTTAGATTACTTTATACTTTTTACTTTTATTTTTTAATTTCAAAAAAAATTTGGTGATTGTTCTATTCTGTTACAATGTGCATTATCATATTCTAATGAATTATTCATTACATACATTTAAAAAAACTTGTTAAAAATGAAATTAAAAAATTATGTTTATTATTACGCTGTGAATGTGTCAACAGCGGTCATGCCTGTATCTGTATCCCATATTTGCCACAACCTTTCTGTATCTGCATTTGTGTATTTCGGTTTCAGCTGATACATTTGATTTGGCGTGTAATTTGTTCCAGTTAATGGATTAATTGGGAGATCTTCATGCGGTGTGTTATTATTGTACTCCCAAAATAAGGCAGGAATAGCCTGAATGCTTTGGCAGCGCTCCAATGTCGGCCAGAATCTCTCAATCTTCCCATTTTGGTAGGGAGAATGAGAGTCTGTATGCCGCCATTGGACGCCCCAAAGATCAAGTAGATCTTGAAAGGCGCCCCTATTTTCTGAACCGTTGTCGGTCCAGAAACAATAAGGGGCGCCAAATTCAATGAAGGCGGAAGCCGCAACGTTCGCTGTCGTCGCTGCCAGCATATCTGGTATTTGTATACACGCTAGGACTTTGCGGCTAAAATTGTCAATTATGCCATAAATATACTGGCCACGAACACCCCTAAAATAATGAACATCTGCGTGCCAGATAAGATTGGGTGAAAGCGCCCAATATCTTACTGCTGTTTCTGGCCCGGCATGCTCTAATCGCGTCTTGGTGAAATGATTTTCTTTGAAGTATCTGCGTACTTCTCTATAAGAAGTTAGTATGGGTTAGTTGGGTACTGTGGCACTGCGCACCTACTTACCCATTATATGTGAATTTGACACTTTACAAAACCGTTAACGTGTATTTTACAACACAAACGACAACACTAACTTAACCTTAAATATTTACAAAGCCGCCAACCACTTCACTTCACTAACGAACTCACTAATGTAAAAATAAACGAACTCACTATCGTTCTCACTAACGACTTCACTAATGTTCTCATAAATTTTCCTCAATATCTTCATCATCAGTGTTAACCCTATTGTAGTCATACTTGAAGCCATAAACTTTCTCTAACTTCTTAACGTACAATTTACATAACTTACCTTCGTCATCGTATGGTTTAATGATATAACTATTTCTATCTTTATAAACAGTCAATGAAAAGTCAACTGGTCTCGGATGTATTTGAAAGAACATGTTATGCTCAGGAAGGAAGAATAAATGTTTAAATGTATGTTTGTTATATGTTTTGATTTGTATGAGTTGCTTTTGTTCTGTCATTTACATCCAAATAAAAAATTTCAGTAAACTTAAAAATAAACTTAAAAATTAATGATATCACCACCCGCACACGTATGAAAACATAGCACAAAAATAATGTTTATGTTAGAATGTTAGATCTAACACGTTTTCTAACCTCATTTCTAACCCTGTTGAATTCATTGCTTTATAACTCACTGTCGTCTGCTTTCTCCAACTCTTCTAACTTCTTCTTAAGTTCAGCAATGTTGTCCTCATGAAGTTTAATCTTTCTCAAAATACCTTCTCTATCTAATGGTTGCTTTATCTTTCTAAACTGAACTCTACCATCCTTCATAGTATGAATGTAAAAACCTTCTGGAATAGTTCCTGATTTAATGTATTCTACCAAAAACTTTTGTTTCATTGCTTCAGTGACTTTAGTCGTCATTTCAATCAAATAAAAATTTTAATATTAAATAAAAAATAACGTTATTTTTTCAGTAAGGAAACGCAGGAGTTTTACGATTTATTTGAGGAGTAGGTTCTGGTTTAAATGTTGGAGTCGGTTTAGGAGTTGACTTTTGAACAGGAGTTTGTACTTCCATAGGTTCAGGAGTTATTGAAGGTTTTGCTTGTGAAGGCGTTGGTTTTGGCGAAGGTGTTGGAGTTTGTTTAACTTCAGCTATTTCAGTATTATTTATAACATTTGCTTTATTTTTTTCAACATCATTACTGCTCCTGCTGTAGCTAGCAAACCTAGTGGGAGACCATATTTTATATAAGGACTTGACCAAATGCTATTTTTGACAGGAGCTGGTGGAACACCTAACCTTGGTGAGACTGCTCTTTGCCATTGTGCAGCTCGTAAGAAATATTCAATAGGTGCTCCATAATCGTTTGGTAAAGTTTGTTTCATAGATGGTGAAGGTTCGCGAGAGCTTGATGAAGAACTCATTTATAAGCTTTAAAAATAAATGTTCATCCTTTATTCCTCACTGTCGTCCGTGGCTAAGTTATAGTCATCTAATCTTATTATGGGGATGCCATTAGCACGCACCTGAATGGCAAAGCAACAATCCCTCATAAATCCAATAAGTGGCTTTGGTACGTTTTCAGTTGCTAGTTCAATAGGTCCTTTAACAGACAATTTGTATGTTATTGGAGCAGTAGATGTTTGACCTTGTTGGAAGCAAAAGTCCACTTCTGTTGGAAAACCACATAAGAAATGTGTGTTGTCATAGCTATCCCATTTATGTTCCACACTACCATCATCCACCAATGACCTCATAACATCTTCATTAAATCCTATCATATCATTGTTTGTATTGCAGGCGTTCGCAACCATTTCATAAAATACAGGTCCATATGATTTTTTCAGGTTCTGCAGGCATATTTCCATAAGCTCCCATGGAAAGCTGAAGATATTTAAACTTAGGGTTCTCAAAATTAACATAATAGTTGTCTTTCTTTCTAAATAG